CTACAGTAATGGCAATGAGGGTGGGTATGGAACAAGGTTGGGAATATGGGACGAGTCGACAATTTTCGACCCGTCCCGTCGTGTATTTTTGTCACATTGCCCATCCACATGCTCGTTTAAAGCAGGAAGAGACATGTCCCAACTCCCATGCCCCATTTATTTTTTCTCTCTGTTTTTTATTTTTTGCTTTTTATTTTTTGGCTTTAATTAGTATATGTTATTACTTTTTTTTTCAATTTGTTAAAAACAACTTATGTTCTTTTTAAAAATATGAAAGCGAGGCAAGAACTATGTTTTTCGTACCCGTTTTGAAGCAATAACTCTCGTCCCGTTTACTCGATTAGGCGGGTAATACCCAGACGGGTATCAAGAAACGAATTTTTTTGTCATCCCCATTTGTTCCAAAGATCTTATTCTTAAGTTCAGATATAAATTTTAAAATTCATTTTTTTCAGTAACAAACTTATTTTTCTACAAATAAATTTTCTTAAAACATTTATTTCCCATAAGAAAGGAAAAAAAAATCTCATAAAAAAGCAGTGCGTCAGAAAGCGAGTAGGTAATCGCGCTATTTTTTGGTCAAATAGTTCAACCAATCACCATTTATAGTCCCCCATTCCGTCCTCGTTTCCACAACCGCCACAATTTCTAGCTAAAACCCCAACAAAAACTCCTTCTCCGCCACCACATTGGAGGAAAAAAGCCATGTCCGCCGCAATAAAAGATGGACTCAATATCCACCTCCGACGCCATTCATCCGTTCGCAATGTATGGACGAGTCGCCGGAACTCGATCGCCGACCCGATTGCAATCTCAGATGGATTTGCTAATCAACTTGCTCATCGACTTCGGCAATCCAAATCGTGTTCGCGTTTTCCCCAATCTATATTCCGGAGAACCAAAGAGGTCGAGATTTCACCTACCAGTGTAATGTCTTCACCTTCAAAATTTGGACCAGTGAGCTGGTACCTGAGCATGATCAAGTCCCGCCCTATTGTCACCAAAAGCATTACCTCTGCCCTCATTTATTCTGCCGCTGATTTTTCATCACAGGTACCTAATTCCTCTTTGCTCAAATACGAAAACGATAAAGCCTTTGCTTGGTTGATTTATATGCTATTGAGTCTGAAAAGGTCAAAAAATGAACAATTTTATCCGTCAAAGCTCATACAAGCAGTCGATTTGCAAGAACCATATTCTCAAAATGGGCCACTAGACTGCTGCGCATATTAAACGTAAAATATGAGATTGCTTAAATATGAAAACAATAATGAGTGTAATCGTAATTGGACTACTCCTCATCCTCTTAGTAAGGCCGATATGGAACTCGTGACTTTAAGGTATCTGCTAAAAATTGTGAAGTGCGAAAAGTAAGGACAAGATCTGTATTAAATGTTGCTTTATTTCTAACTTTTATGAACTGTATAAATGTGTTACTTATCAAATTTGATGCAGAGTATTGTGGAGAGATCTTCAGAAGGATATGATTATTTGAGAACATTGCGAATGGCTGGTTACGGGATGATAATATTAGGACCTTCGTTGCACTATTGGTTTAATTTTGTGTCAAGAGTTTTTCCAAAGCGCGATCTCCGGTCAACGTTTAAAAAGATGGCTTTGGGGCAAACAGTATATGGACCTACAATGACTTCTATTTTCTTCTCAGTCAATGCTGCTGTACAAGGTAAATCTCAATCTTTTACAGTTATTTCAATGCTTTTGTAGGCACTTAATGTTTTTTTGGAATTTTTTATACATGAATTGAACCTAGTTCATATTCACATTTGTGATTCCTGCAAAGAGCTAATCTGGAGTTTCAGCAAGCATTATTCACTTTTTCTGCCGTTATATTGGTTAATGTATCTGAAAACGGGAAAGAGTGAGAAGAAGCAGTGATCATAGGCACTACCAAGGGAGATACTTGTCTTGTCCATCCAAGAAGCCTGTCTGGTGCTAACTGCGACCAGAAATAAATAGGAAAAGTTAAACTTTGAAACATTTATACAATTCTACATACTATATGATGCGCAAAGAGAGAGAGAGAGAGGGAGGGAGAGAGAGAGAGAGAGAGAGAGAGTTAAATATAAATTTCGTCTAACTTGAATTTGAGGCTTATCTAATACCCTTTATGCGGGTGAAAGACGAGATATATTTTGCACCAACATTTTAAGCTATATTTGCTTCATGTAATTCTTGAGGCTTAAGAGTAAATGTGTATATATATAACCTCATTTATTCATTGATGCGCAAGTATAAAGAAAGGGGAAGAAACCCTTATGTTTACATATGCAATGCTTACCTGGCATGAAAATACTTGGTGACAGATGCTTGAATCGTTGGTTCAACTACATAGGGGAGAAAAATGTTTTAAAACTTCCTTTTTTTCTTTTTCTTTTTCCTTTTGCTCTTAACCAGTCCACTTTCTTTGGAAGTACCTGATTTGGTTTTTGATGCAACTAGTAGGGGAAAACAATTTTTAACTGTTGGTACCAAAATAAAGCACAGTAGCAGCATGGGCTGCAATAAAGGCCTTAGCTGTGCTTCGAAGCCTAAGCAATAGTTTATTAAGATGGATTAAAACGTTTTTTCCTTGTTTTTGAAACCTATTTTTTCCTATGCCTTAAGTTTTGATCACTCGCAGATCATAGTAGGTCAGCAGCAGCCCATTAACATTTATGAAGTTATCTCATAGAGTGGCGGCCCGTTGTATGAGTATAAAGAACAAAATATTGGGATCTATCTGGGAAAATAAAAGTGGAATACGCACGACGTGGGAAAGAAAAGAGACGTGTAAGTTCTTAGATAAGTAACGGAAATGAGAAGCTTATATTTACAAATTCAGTTTAGGAACACAACACAATTTTGGAAAATATAAAATAAAATTCAATTTCAAGTAGTCATTGGCCTTGTGATGCTCCTTGTGTTGTTTTTGGAGGCTGATCAGTAGGTAAATGCTTTCATCTTTTTGTCTGAAGTTCATTTTTACATGTCATTTAAATGCTTGCATGATGACAGTGGTCCAATATTTGGTTTATAATCTGAGGTGTAGTGGCAGAATTTTATATGTATGCAAACCACGTTGCAAAAATCTAATCGTGATAGTACAAGAGATTTATTTTATATAGAAAGAGCTTGGACACTTTCACTGTTTGTGGAATAGATGATTTGTTTTGTATAGTGAGCTGAATTTTCTCTGTATGTGTGTAGGACTTAGTTTTTATCAAGTGTTAACTCTTTGTTGCCATACTCAGGTGAAACTGGTCCTGAGATTGTTGCTCGATTGAAGCGAGATTTGGTCCCTACCATACTTAGTGGTATTATGTACTGGCCTGGATGTGATTTTGTGACATTTAAATTCATCCCTGTTAATTTACAGGTGAGATCCTATGTCTCATAAGATGACTGTTGAATTGATTCTCAATTTATAAATTGTTGCTGGGAATGAAAATTGGAAAATCTGAATTTTTTTATATGAAAAATAGAAGAATCGATTCCACACTGAAGAAATAATTGAATATTCATTGATCAAATCATTCACTCCATAGTCTGATAACGCTTCTGATAGACAATTGACAGATCTGTTAACTTGAAAATACTAACAATGCACAGTTTATGAGAAGATAAATTTAAAGATACTTGTGCTTTTGTTATGGCAGCCACTGGTGAGCAATGGGTTTTCATATCTATGNTTGTGCTTTTGTTATGGCAGCCACTGGTGAGCAATGGGTTTTCATATCTATGGACAGTATACATGACATACATGGCAAGTTTAGAGAAAGTTAGCACGGTCTGAATGCATCTTCTCACTATCTTCCCCGATAAATTCTCCAGCTGTATTGTTCATCGTGGGCAATTACACGGAATCTCTTAGTAATGGCAGAAGCAGAAGCCACAGGCTGCAGAATTATCAGCTAGTACCCTTTCAAAAACATGATTAATTTTCAATCTATAAGTTCTTTGCAGAAACTACTAGGTGAAGGCTAGTTACATCAGGCGGCTGGTTATTTGTAATCCTCGTTAGTTCTCTGGTTATTTGTAACCCTCGTTAGTTCCCATCATTTTGTTGTATTTTGTTTATTTTTTCATAGCTCTATATCAACATCCTCCTCCCTCCCTCTGGGTAGGCTGGTACGAGAATACATTTATTCTGTATGGACGTCTTAATATTGCAACTTTTTCAGAATACATCTTTCTCGTGTTCAAAGGCTTCATATCTCCCTCTTAAGTGACCTTTGCAATTTGTCATACAGTAAGGGTCGAATGTTTAATTGTTTCGACTGTAACAGGACAATGGTTACAGTTTTGATGTTCAATGCACCAGTCTTTCCTATGAAAGTTTGCAGCGAGTGAACTTCCCTAGCTCAAAAGCAAATTTAAATATATAATAGCATCAAACATGCACAAAAAGAGAGAGAAATAAGTCAATCAGTCTACTTAAAATCTTAAGTTAATCCATTTTCAAAACGGTAAATCAAGAAATTATAAGCTGAAGCAAACAGTACAATGTGCAACAGACCTTTGAGACGTATCCTCGTCTACTCTGCACTGTGATCGTCAGTTTGTGGCATCAAAGATGCTCCTTGAGGAAGAGAGGAGGGGACAGGGATAGACGAACAGGTAGTATATGTGAAGCATAATGAACATGATTTGGTGTTGAGTATTGAAAATAAGAAAGCTTTATTTCATTCAGAAACTGATTGTTACATAACATATAACTTGAAGAATGACGCTTGAGCTCTAGAGATTGCGTTAAGTAGTATCAAATGACTAAAGGGTTGTATAAACATAACTCCCTTCCTAGCAACTAGCATTAATAACATCTAACTGCAGCCAGCCCAAGAAACTGAAGTAACGAATTGCATCTTCTTTTGTGATGCTTCTGAGTACCACTTATAATTGGTGGTCAATATTCAACAAAGAATGAATATGCATCAAAAGAGGATTTCAGGAGCTGTCTTTAGCAACCTGTCCAATAGTGAGTTGCTCGTTATCAATTCTGTTTACTCAACGGCACGAGTGCAGATCTTCTCCAGTTGTACTGGCCAAGTCGCCCCAAGAATTCGTGGGTTCAACTCCATAGCAACACGAAAATCTGACGTACTTACATATTTCGAGTGGGTTGGTCTTCGTGTATATCTTCCAAGTAATGCCCCGTTCCCTCCAGTACTTATTTGACCGTTTAACTCTCCCTCGTGCATATGATTACCCGGTGATCTTGCAATCTCCATACAAGGTTCAATTAACCTCTTCAAATACGCATCCAAACTATTATTGAACAGGTTAGCACAATCCAAAGAAATTCCAATCCCCTCCAATTCCAACTTTTTCTCCAAACAACTCCTCAGCATTTTCGTATCAGGTAACTCGCCACTATTTTGACAAGTGTTAAACCCAAAACCACGTTGAAGAGCTTTATGAGCACCACCCAGGTTTATTGAAACACCAAATGGAGCAGTAATAGGGCTCCGACTCTGAATGCCTAGGCTTCCAGCAAATTGTTCAACCTCTTCCCCATCTTCAACAGGAGCAACTTCAATGGGTGGTCTGCTACTGACAGAATTCAGTTCTGCTCCACTTTGCTGTTCGTGTATTCTTGGACTAGTTTCTTCAAATGTGATGCTAGGGCTCTTTCCTAGTGGTCCAAGTGGACTTTGGCGATCCCGAAACTTACGATCCCTGTTAATAGGAGATCTATGCTTGCGAGGAGATGGGGGAAATGCATCGCCATAGAGTGATTGCATACAATTTCTTTGGTAACCATTTGCAACTTTAACCCCAAGAGGTCCTTTAACTTTCCTAGCTATTGGTGGGGGAACTTTAGCCTGACAAGCATTCTGGAGAATGGATTGAATAAGCCGGTTATGAAGAGAGAGATTCTCTCTCCCAATTGTTTTTATGCAGTTCTGATCGAATTCGACCTTGCTAAGCTTTAAACTGAAAAATCTTTTCAGCTGATCAAAGTAATTTTCTGCTCTTGCATGCCCAATCTTCTGATAAATATGATTTTTCAGCTCCATCGTGTCCACTCGTGTAAAATGATGTTTTGCCACCATTTTAATTAACCTGATTAACATCCAAAATCCCAGATCTCAATCAATACTCCATCGAAGAGCAAATAAAAACACCAAATTTCAAAAAAAATGTCAAATGCACAAAATTGTTCTCGTAAAGATAATTGTATAAATGAAATCAACAACAATCATAATTTATCTTTCATTCGGCAGATAGAAAGGAACAAAAACTCAGATACGAATAAGCTCAGATATATTTTTAAAAAATTATTTACAAGTGAAAAATTAACAAAATCTAATTTTTAACGTTAACAAACCTCAATTTCAACCAATAAAAACTTTAATTTTTGCATAAATAAATCATTAAAAAAACGTGCAGTATAACAAACTTCACCATCAAGTTCATTTCAACTCTAGAAATCAACCGATACAAATTTGAAATAAGAATGAAAAACAAAACCCTCGAATTACAATTCGGCAAGAGTAGAGAGAAGTGTGACCATAAAATTAAAAATTCAGATAAATAATCAAAACCCTTCTACGGGGATTTCAAAACAGAAATTAAATTGAATTATAATGAAAATTAGAGCAAGAAAGAAAGAGAAATCGACCTGGTTTTGAAGAAGCTGAGATCGACTGTTTTTCTCTTCACCCAAAGCGTTCTGGGCCGATGGCTCGAATGTTTATTTTTCTAATTCTGTCTAAATTGAAGGACGAAATCCTAGCCAAACACGAACTAAGTCTCATAAGCTTAGGCTTTCTGAGCATAATCTCAAGTTAGTACAAACGTGCGCGGGTACGTCGTGTCTACTAAGGCCGTGTTTGGTTCTTTTCAGTGTTTTGCGGGGTGGGGAAGGGGGAATGTCCTATTGGACAATAAAAATAAAAAGTAAAAATAAAATAAAATGATATACTAATATCAACTCAAATGATTTTGAGATGGAATTAGTGTCGATGATTTTGACATATACATATATCTGTGATTAGTTTAAATTATTGACAGTAGTATCATTTATGATTATCACGTCACTCCGTCGATAATTAAGAACAACAATTTTGTCGTCGATGTAGTTACTTATGGGGGTGACAAAAATTGAAAATTAGGACTTTTAGCATTGAGTTAAGCCAGACATGCTCTAAATATGTTTAATGAACTTTCCAAAATAACTTTTTTTCTTTTTGATATACTTTTTGTTATGTTTGCAATGTGGTCTTAATGTGTGTAATATCTCAATGTTGAAGCAAGAAGCAACGATAGGTGAGAAAGGCTCTATTGAGATTTTGTCTCGAGTCTTCATCTTTTAATAAACATATGTTAGGAAATTGAGTTTGTTTCAAAGACTTAGGGTCCGATTTCTTTGATCATCCTAATAAATCCCAAACTTTATGGTAAGAGAACCAAAATAACACATGCCAAGAACAATAAAAGGCCTCGTAGTGGATCTTGGAATGGAGATTATTTTTAAATGATGTTGCATCGAAAATTGTATAAACAAAATCTAAGTCAACTTCAAGTGTAAATAAATATTTTTACTAGTAATTACTTACAAACTACAAATGTTTTTATCAAATGAGATATTTGAAATATGAAGTCGTTGGATCTTTTTCACCCCTTTCCTAAAGGATACTGTCCTCTTTTTTTTTTTTTTATAAGAAATGATGATCATGTATCTTTTATATTTATGTCTTGTCAACAACAGTACCGAATTGGGAACCTATGACAATGGCTTAAGTCCTGATTTGTTGTTGTCAAATCAACATACTGTATCGAATTGGGAAGGTACGCCAATGGCATATCTCCATTGGTTGCTGATGCAGCTCCATCAGGTTATCATGAAGCCGACCTTAAAGGAGATTCTCAGTAATTAATGAACTGATTAGAGAATGAAACTATAACATATAATTGGTGGGCGCTGACGTAAGTCATTCCGAATGTCATTAAGTGATTGAATGTTCTGATAGTGTATAAGGAATCTACAATCATTATATCTCATCAAACCACAATAGTCATAAGTAAAAGCTGACTTTCAGATCCTACCTTGAATTAGTATGAGCTAAGTGACATAACAAACGGACTTAATTATGTCGCATATCGGATGTCAACAAATGACAAACATAACAAATGTGGAACATAGATTCTTTTTAAATGATGACTATAATGAATGTCAACTCAATTCGAAAAGAAATTATGTGAAAGCTTTACAGCATCAATATGAAGCCTTTAGACAATCAACTTAGGGTGTGTTTAATAAATATTATTAAGGAAAAAATGTATTTTTAAATAGTAATATGATGGGAAATATGCGGTTGAAAAGTAAGGAAAAATTATTGATGTGATGAAAAATATTATTTTATTGAAAAATGTGTGGTTGAAAATGAGTTTTGAAAGTGTTGACACACAAAATGGACAGCTTAATTCAAATGGCCCAAAGAAGGAAATTGCCCAAGCAAAGAAGCTCATCTAGAGAGATCAG